TGACAATAAATGAAAGCGAAAAAGTTGGCATCGTTGGACGAACCGGAGCTGGCAAAAGTATGAATTACCATTTCAATTTATATCCAAATTCCAATGAAACGAAATTTGATTTGATTTTCTCCGCTGTTAGGTAGTTTAACATTGGCCTTATTCAGAATCGTTGAAGCGGCCGGTGGTTCGATTGTCATCGATGGTCAGGATATCTCGAAACTCGGTCTGCACACACTGCGTTCAAGATTGACAATTATACCACAGGATCCGGTGCTTTTCTCGGGGCCATTGCGCTTCAATTTGGATCCATTCGCTGAAAAATCCGACGATGAAATTTGGCGTGCATTGGAATTGGCGCATTTAAAATCCTTTGTAGAAGAGACATCTTTAGGTCTAAATCACGAAGTTGCGGAAGGTGGTGAGAACTTGTCAGTTGGTCAACGGCAACTTGTTTGCCTAGCTCGTGCCTTGTTGCGTAAAACAAAAGTGCTGATATTAGACGAAGCAACCGCGGCCATTGACTTGGAGACCGACGATCTCATTCAGGCAAGAAATAGAAAAAACGGTATGTCCGAAGAAAGTATCGCTATTTGATTGTTATTACTCTTTTATAGGAAACAATTCGAACAGAGTTCAAGGAGTGTACGATTCTGACCATTGCACATCGCTTAAATACAATCATGGATTCAGACAAGGTCATTGTGCTGGATAAAGGTCAGGCCATTGAGTTCGATTCACCCAACGCATTGCTGCGAAATGAAAAATCAGCATTTTATAGTATGGCCAAAGATGCCGGTTTAGTATAAGCATTATCAAAATAGCTCATAAACATTCAATAACCTACCAGAATGATACCGTACGGTATGAATATTTGACGAGGTTAAGACGGGCATTACACTTTGTGTGTCTCACGTACAATGTTGTAAAGTGATCGTAAATGGCAATATAATTTTGAGATACTCATTTATTGGTTGTGAGTCATTGTCTGGTGGTGGGGTCAAATCTTACTCGATTTGACACTTTTTTGGTCCGGATATCTTGAAAAAACGTGTATGAGAAAAATATCCATTCTAAGGTATTTTTGCAGACTGATTCCGAATTTCGGGGTTTCAGGTCAAAAACATCACACCTTGGAGGTTTTTGAAGACCCCTCCAACCCCCTTAAGGGGGTTTCCCACCACCTATTATATGCGCCACCCTGTTTTAAATGTAATTTATTAATACGACCGTCTGAGAGGTATGTCAACATGAAGAAATAGATTCTGTTTTGTATCTAGATTCTAGATGGTATATTTTCCTCCTTTCCTTCAATGAAAAATAATTCGTTTTTATCTTTTTCTTATCTTGAATAAACGCGCAGCTTTCACGTTCTCATTGAATAAACTTGAACATAATGATATAAGTCCGATTGAATCTGTTAAGCTGTTCACACATTTTTTTTCTCGATGTTCTGGAAATAAGAATTTTTAGTCGAAAAATGATATGTTAGTGAATTTTTGGCTTAAAAAAAGGTTTCGATAAATAAAAGGTTTTTATAAATTAAATAATTTTGTTTCAATTTCAAAGTGATTTCAATCGAATACAGTGCAACAACGACGATGCAAGAATTAGATGATTTTTGTGGCACCGAATTTTGGGTGAGTTATTTTTCATACAAGAGACTGACTTCTGGTTTGAAAAGAATTTCGATCACTTATCACGTTTTTTAAAAAAAGTTCTCACAATATAATATTTTTAAATTTTATTTCGTGAATTTTAGAATTCAGAAGTGACTTGGTACACCGATAATCCCGATTTCACGCCATGCTTTGAGCAAACTGTCTTGATATGGGTGCCGTGTGCGTTTCTATGGCTGAATTCATTGTTCGAAATATTTTATATAAATAATAGCATCAATCGTTATATTCCGTATGGATTTCTGAACGGATCGAAATTGCTGCTAACTTGTACTTTGATACTGCTATCAATCGTCGATGTTATTGTTGTTGTCGCAAACAGTGACAATCGCGAGGTGTACCCAGTTGATTATTGTACGCCGCTCATTAAAATTGCAACATTTGTAAGAGCATTCACATTTAGTTAGCTGCATCGAATACATTATATCTAATTATTTTCAAATATTGTAGGCACTATCAGCGATTTTGCTTGATTTCAATCGGAGATTCGGCTTGCGAACGTCTGGAGTACAATTTTTGTTCTGGTTCATTCTTTTGATTTGTGGTGCGCCACAATTACGAACGCAAATCGTCGCGA